ACACACACACACACACACACACACACACACACACCCACGATGGGTCAGCCTTGAGTCTTACAAGTCTCAGGGCAACTACATCACCATCTTGTTTCCATGACACCCACCTTCCAGCTGTGGAACTATGAGGTCACTTCCTCTTTAGTGGGAAATGTGGGGTTGTAGAAGCAAGAAAATGAGGGGAAAGTGTAGCGATGAGTGCTGGTCCCTCCTCTCACTTGCTTTGACACTCTCTTTCCCCACTCGGCGAGAGAGAAAGAGTTCATTCAGACAGCTTGCGCATGCGCACACACACACACACTCACTGCCAAGTACAACAGCCGCTTCTGGTAACTCCCTGGCACTGCAGCCAAAGGACTTACACACACACACACACACCAGCCTGTTTAGAGCAAGAGTCCTTCTGAAGCGCAGCAGTGGAAGTGGTTGCACAAGAGTGTGTGTGCTGCATGTGTCAATTTCTTGTCCTTAACTGGACATAATTTACCCTACACACACTTTCATATCCTGTTTCCGATGATCTGTCTATTACACACACGCATGCAACACAGTCACCATAGATCTTGTTTTCCAATAAACCTTGTTCTCACCGAATTCAATGCTACGCTTTAAAAACAAATGTCATGCTCTTTTTTCACTTTCGCTTATGGAAAGAGAAAACGGCTACATTTCTAATTGGCCTCAGGTGAAATTGGAACCTCATCGTCTCTGAAATACAATCTTCAGTGGCCTGTAGCTTTCAAGGTGTCCAAATGAAAAACTTCTCTAAACCTGATGCCCGGATACCGGCCAAGAATATGTTTTTTCTTTTTTTAATTTTTATTAATCTCTCTCCACCTCTCCCACCACGAACACACACAAGCAAGCACTTATATGCTGACATTGAATACTTTTGGGAAGTTGACATCTCCTGCGGTGTGATATGCTATACTCCTAAAACTGACATGCTATACTATATCTAAAACTACTGATGGCGGTCTGTAAAACAAAATAATTGGGGTATGATATCAAAACGGCTATATTAAAATACAGCTACAACTTTAAAAACCACAACTAATGCATTGTGACTTGAAGATCCTTCATCAGGGTGTGGATTTGAGCAGGCAAACTTTATTTAAAGAGTTGAAGACAACTTTAACAAACAGTGTCCGCTGTAATATAATACCTCACAAGGTTTGTTTCATAGACTACAAAGGCTTCTCCACAGAGCAGCAGAGAAGGTAACTGTATATTTTTTGATTGCTTAAAGAACATTTTGCCAATTCTTTTGTAATTACCATGACTTTCCATAACCTTGAGAGAGACTGCATGGAATATTTGTACTTTTAAAAATGCATTTGTCACCAGACCAGACCATTTAAAATGATCTACTGAGGGCAAAATGTGTCCTGTAAAGCCTGAAACAGTTTACTGAATCTTATATTTTTTTAAAGTTTGCATATGTGTTTTATGTATGAGACATCAGGATTTTATGGTCCATATATTATACACACACACACACACACACACACACATATATATATATATATATATATATATAACAGAAGTAATAAAACTCATGATGTTACAGGAACGTTTTGAATGATGAAACATGAAGACAATAAACACAACTGCGACAATATATGGTTTATCTGTGTTTTTCAAGCCATCTCTGGTATTTTTATAATAATTAAGTGTATTTATAATCCATTGCTAATCGACATGCACGTTATAAGCGGGGGGCACTTCCTCATCTCAGCGCGCAGACTCACAGGCACACAAACAGCCAATGCGGAGAGAAATAAAACGCACGCAAATTATTTAAATGCACAACCGAAAAAAAATGGCAATTCAATTGAATATACAGTATATAGTTTAACTTTTAAACGTTTTTTTTCCATTTTAGTTTAAGTATTTTTGTTATGTGCTTTTGTCTTTTATCATATTTATAATTTTTTATATTTCCAATTAGCTTTTTTTTTTATTTCAGTATTTTAGTTCATAAATTTATTCCATTTTAATTAGTTGCCAAGGCAATATTTCAAATTTTCATTTAAGTTTTTTACATTTATGTTTTTCATCTAATATCTGCATTTTATTTCATGTTTATTTCAATTAACTTTCAATTATTTTTAAAGTTTTAGTTAACAATAACAACACTACTGGTGACTCATTCAAAGAGTGCATGTCTGTTTATGTTTATGTCTACTCTAAACTAAAAAATATGATTTCAAAATCTTTACATGAACATGTTTTTCCATGTATTGTTGGGTTTTTCTAATGATCTGATTTTTGATTTCTCGCTCTCAATCAAGCAGTGCTCACATACACCAGGTCACATCCCAATATATTGTGACGTTTTGCACTTTCCCAGGAGAAACAGACAGGAGTCGAGAATCCGGTTTGCAAGCACCCAACAGGCTGTAATTTATTTCCTGAACGTTACAACCTGAAACGCGGGTATCAGGAGGTGTCTTAAAAAAAACTCTGAAACTGAGCAAAAATATGCAGTTGGTGTATATGTGTTATTTATATGGCTAAAAAGTAAGATGAAAGTCTGAAGATTTCACAGCAAAAAGACACGTTTACTACGTGGACATTTTTAGAATCAAAGGCCCTTTACTTACTAAACAAGTATTAATTATTAATCAGGATGCAAATAGTAGATTGTGTGCAAGAGGTGTTTCAGCAAGAGGTGTTTCAGCAAAGTTTTGATCATGTTGATAATTTAGAGACCTAGAAAATCATGTATTAAATATGATACAGTTGGCTTTACAAGGTTGCAAATGATGATCTAGTCTATGGACATGTTATGTGTAAACTAGCAATGTCCATAGATAACACAAACAGTCCTTCCCCTCTCCATATTCTTTTCTCTTGCTGTCTTTCAAACATCTTTCTGTCTGGTCTCCCTCCCTCTCTCACTTTTACTAAGCCTTTGTGTGGTAGCAATCATTTCTCACTAATGGCCAAAGCTACAAGCTGTTAGAGCCCCATGACCCTTAGAAAGAGAAAGAAAAAAAAAAGAGAAAGAAAGGTATCTTTACCTGGGGTAGATGCCGCTGACCATACTGTCACAAATCGGGTCACTGTTACTGGGACAAGGACCGGCTGCTTTTGACATTAGCAGCACGATGAGACCTCGCATTTGTAGATTATTCCGGCTGTCATACACAAATCCTCTATTTAAAAAACAAAACAAAAACAAGATTACATATCACATAACATACATTTTTATAATTAGCTGAATTAAATTGAAAATAAATTCTGAATGTTTTAAAATAAATCAGTGTTACACGATCATTTAGAAATATTTCTAATATGGTAATTTTGTTCTCAGAAAACATTTCTTATTATCAATGATGAAAACAGCTGGAAACCGTGATGCATTATTTTTTTTTCAGGATTCTTTGATGAATATGAATATTCATGATGAATATTTAATGCATCCTGGCTGAATAATAAGTATTAATTTCTTTTAAAAAAAAATACATGTAAGTGTTCCAAGGCAACAGCATCAACTGCACTGAGTCATATGTGAGATCCATTAATGAGTCAGGCCTACTATTGGTCAGTACTCTGTGCTGATGGCCATGACTCCCCATCAAACCATTCAGAGTGAGAAATAATGGTGATATGAAGAGAAGAAATGTGATTCATCAGCTAATTAAAGAATCATAATGATCAAAAGCAGCTAGAGATTGTAGAGTTTCTCCAGGATCTGCTTCAAAACATTGAATTATAAAATAACACTTGCACGTCCCTTGGTGACGTGGCAAAGGGATCTCATTATAATATTTAAACTGTAAACTTCCACTCAAGGCACCGTCCTTTTTTCTCTTCCTGCCTCCGCGCTTGCCCCTCCCTCCTCCCTCTTTCCCTCCCAGACACCTCCCCCCAACAGCAGGTGAATCAAGTAAACACATTTATAACAGAGAATAAACAGTGTCATCGCCACAATATGAAAGACCGTCCCCTTGAACAATCAGGTTTTTAAGATTCTCCTCTCCACCAGCCCTTATGGCTTCAGTTAGCATTTTAAACATACTGACACAAAGGCCACGTTCACACAGCAGCAGAATACAGTTGTCAGTCCTGTATTTGAGTCCTTAATACGGTTACGTTCACACACAGTTCGGTTATTTACGGGTGTGACAACCGCATTCTGTAACCGAACTCACACCTGTACATTTTCAGGACTCTAAAACACACGCGCAGTGTGAACAGAACAGGACTGGACAACTAGTTGTCTGTCACGTCATACAGTGCGAGAGAAAGCCGCTCTGCCGCACAAACGCGTGTTTACCGTGTGTTATGTGTTTTCATATGTGTTTTCGGTAACTTACAGTGACGGAGAAGTTAGCTGCGTGTCTGTCACCTGAAATTTTTAGATCCCGTCAGTTTTCCACCGGAGCCGCTCCCGTCAGTTTTGTGTTCTGCACGCGACTCAAATACTCCGCTCTCCGCCCAAATTTAAAGACTGCTTTCAGTTAATGAAGATTTGACGGATGAACTCGCGGCATGTTTGGACTCTTGTCGTGTCAGAAAGTGATAAGACTTTCAGTTTTATGCACGTCGCCATCTTTGATTTTACTTTGGTCATTGTCGCTATGGTTACTGGTAAGGAATACAGGCTTGACTCCCGTTGCATGTTCATACAGACAGCTGCTGTGTGAACGGGACATTTCGAGACTCACACCTGTAAAGAAAATGCGGTTGTCAATCCCAAAAATCGACAGTGTGAACGTAGCCAAAGGTTAGACTAGAGCGGTCTAAAATAATCTGGTCACATCCACCACCAGAAACACACACCATCACTCAGTCAGACAGAAACTACATCTCAAAACATGCACACAAACACACACATATCATTAAATCACAAACTCACTCTACTGCAAAGGGAGGAGCAGGGAGTCATTAAAACAAGACGAGTGGTGATAAGAAATGATTGGAAAGAGGGAATGAAAGAGTGATGGAATACAGACCAGCTGCAAAGTGTTTATTACCATCACAAACAAGGAGTGCGCAGTGAAGTACACTTAATATGTGTGAAACATTCAAAGGTAGGCTACTGTTCACACACAACACTGTTTTTTGGTTAGAAAATGAAAACATGCACTAGATTAATGTCTTTGTCACCTATAGTGCGTCTCACTTTTTTTCCACATCTTACACCATGAGCAGTGCATTTTTAAGATGCTATGTGATATATATATACACACTATATATAATTATATAATATATATTTATAATATATAATATTACATTTTTCACAGAATAATTTGGGTCTTTATACAAGAAATTATATAGATGCCTTTTAAATTTAGGATGGGGGTCCCTCGTATTTAGGGGCCGTGTGATATATTAAAAATTTAAAACCCCTGCCATAAAGGACCTCAGTGAGACCGTCACAGGGCTTTTGTATGAGTGTGGAGTGGACCTGTGAAGGTCTTCCCCTGACGTGTCAAAGACATCTCCGCAAGCTCGTACCGCAACCCCAAACTGCTCTGAACTTCGCTGAGGTCTGTGTTTTTTTTTTAAGAATGAACAGAAAGGCGACGCGAAACGTTAGCTGGCACTGCCCGACTCGCCAGCCTGCAATTGTGCGTATAAATATCTTTGGCGCGTCTTAGGATCTTAGGAGACGGCTGAATCTGCACTGACGCTGGGTTAGACTAGAGCGGTCTAAAATAATCTGGTCACATCCACCACCAGAAACACACACCATCACTCAGTCAGAAAGAAACTACATCTCAAAACATGCACACAAACACACACATATCATTAAATCACAAACTCACTCTACTGCAAAGGGAGGAGCAGGGAGTCATTAAAACAAGACGAGTGGTGATAAGAAATGATTGGAAAGAGGGAATGAAAGAGTGATGGAATACAGACCAGCTGCAAAGTGTTTATTACCATCACAAACAAGGAGTGCGCAGTGAAGTACACTTAATATGTGTGAAACATTCAAAGGTAGGCTACTGTTCACACACAACACTGTTTTTTGGTTAGAAAATGAAAACATGCACTAGATTAATGTCTTTGTCACCTATAGTGCGTCTCACTTTTTTTCCACATCTTACACCATGAGCAGTGCATTTTTAAGATGCTATGTGAGGTTAATACAATTTTTTTTTTTTACATTGGATACAGTGGATAAATGTCTGCGCATACATGTCAATGGACCAATCAGATGAATCTGGGGGCGGGATGAGCATCTCACATTTATTAGCATATGTACACGTTTATAAACAAGCATATTGATTACTGATATTCGCAATAGTGTGTAGGAGATAATAAAAATGTCTTTTTAAAAATATATTGAACTCCATCTAGCTGCTTTTACCGCATTAACACATCCTGTGTGAACGGCCCCTAACAACTAAGAAAAAAAAATGCTGTAAATATCAATCAAAATGCCACAGTGAATGATGTCATTGGGAAAATGTGACATTACATCACTGCACTCTGTTCGACTGGAATATTATGCGTGTATGCAGCTGGGTCGTCACTTTACATGTGGACTGGGACAAAATTTTTATGGGTGGCCCCAATAATTACCAAAGGACAGGGGTTTTCAAAGTGGTGGTCCGTAGAAAAATTTTGGAGGAAAAAAAAAAAAAAGAGTACGTAAATAAATAAGATTTAATAAAAAAATAAAAAGTATATTAAAATAAGTAAATAAATAATACATCTAACAGTACAGTACTATAATGAGTAGGGGAAAAGAATTAGAAACTACATAATTTCTGAATAAGCAATATGAAATAAAAATGTAATATTATAAATTATAATTATATAT